CCTGCCTGTGGCTGCAGGCATTAACGGCCCAGACGCATCGCTCATCCTTTGCCCCTTCCCCACTTGCCTTTGGACTTTCAGAATTTCAGTGTTTTGACTAGCATGCCATATGTAATGTGCGATTTTTTCTTTGCTCTTGAGGTATATCTTATTAGGTCAGTTGGAGGCTCACCACTCCTTAGCAACAGGGAGGACTTTGGGTCACCCAGGACCATTGACAATAGTGCATGCTACTGGTGAGCAACAGGCATAGAGAAAAAAAAAAATCACCAATTTTCTAATCCTGTACAGCTTTTAACATTCAGAGATAACTTGAATAAGTTAGGAGGGAACAAATATATCACCAGATGACTAGGAACAATCACAGAGGCTCAATAAATATGAGCAACCAACAAAAGGCCTCTCCTCGAAGGAAATCATCAAGCCCACATCACCCACAGTCAATACAATGGACGTCGTGGACATGTCAGATAAGGAATTCAAACTAACGGACATGGAAAACAAAAGAGACAATGAGCTCTAGGAAATGAGGAAGTCCTATTATGATTTGAAAGAAGAAATAGACACCTTAAACAAGAACCAGATGGAACTTCTAGGGTTGAAGAATGTGATACAAGAAATCAAAACCTCCCTTGAAAGTATTAAAAGTAGATTGGATCAGGCAGAAGATCAAATCTAAAATGTAGAGGACAAAACATCTGACCTAGCAAAAAGTATCAAGAAGATTGAGAAAACAATCAAGAAAAACAAGGATAATATACAAGGAATACTGGATACCATCAAGTGCCCCAACATCTGGATAATTGGTATCCCAAAAGAGGAAGAAAATAATAAGGGCATTGATAACTTATTCTATGAACTCCTGGAAGAAAACTTTCCAAATCTAGAAAGGCATTCAAATATCCAGACCCAAGAAATACATAGGACCCCAAGTATAAACAACCCAAGAAGATCCTCCCCAAGGCACATCATAGCCAGACTGGCAAAAACAACAGACAAAGACAAGATACTAAAGTTGTGAATCCCACATGGCCAACTGCATGGTTCAAGTCCTGGACCCAACGACTTGAAAAAATGCCAGGCACATGTTTACATGTGCCCCAAATCCCAAGAGGACAATAGAGGAGAATGGATTGTGGCATGATTATTCCTCCTTGGAGATGCTATCTCATTTTCCCTCTCTCTCTCTTTCTCTCTTTCTCTTTGGCAAATGCATGTACCTCAGAGCAAATTATTTTTTTAAAAAAACGAAAGAAAGAAAAGAGAAGAAATTAAGCCTTAAGGACTAGCTGTAGTGGTATAGAATACTGTGATACTTCACAACATGGAACCTACACAGGAAGATGCTGGGTTCACACAACGATCTCCCTGTGCACTCCAGGTGTGCTCCTGCGCACATGCCCATGATCTATTAGGCTGAATTGACACAACCACCGCCATGTTAGACCCTCAAGGACAGAACCCAGGGAGTCTGAGACCACATAAATAAACAAAGTAAGATGGGCCCTGACGATGCCAGGGCCAGGTCAACCTGACCTCAACTGAAAGTCCTAATCTAAACCTAAACATATAGTGACAGCTAGCTTTCACATACCCCCCTCCCTCAAGTGGAAAATTACTGACTGTACTTCCTGCATTGCAATTCGGAGCTATAAAAGATCCCTTTATCTTAGGCTCGCAGTCCTTGTTAAGGCCCGCTACGACGGGCAGAAACTCAGACCCCAGCTAGCTGGAAAAAGAATAAAAGCCTCTTGCACAGTTGCATTGTCTTTGTCTTTTCTGTGTCTCCATCAGTTAGACTGATCTCT